TGGCAACACAGTTGAATGTGGAACCTCTAAAGACTTTATAAATAGCTGAAGTCAATTGCTAGATACATTTATAGATAAAACATGTACAATGCATAAACTGTCCTTTAGACCAGGGACTATGTAGTTGGGGCTAGGTATTTGTAGAAATTATGTGGTCAAATAGAACACTGATTTTATTATGGAGCACAAGATTTTAATTGGTGGTTCGTCAGTTATTAGCTGTCCATAAATGCAGGTCTATTTCATGTGTTAATTACTTTTTGAAATACAAGTAATAACTACCCCTCCCCCTTTCATTTACAAATCACGTTAGTATGCGCCCTCTCAGGGGTGTGACATATTTATGGATAGTCCCATACAGTGGCGTAGGCAGGGGGGGGGGGGTTAGGGACGGTCATAACCCCCCCCCATAGACCCCTTGGTATATATATAAAGTATGAGAGGGGTGGAAATCGAAAGTTTGAGAGGGGGGGGGGTGCAAATCGAAAGTTTGTCCCCGGGTAAAAATTGGAACACCCCCCCCCCCCTTGAGATGATCCTGGCTACGCCACTGGTCCCATAGGTTGTTTTCAGACACTTTTGCACTTTATGCCCATCAGATGGTGTGGTTTCTAATGGACAAACTTATTGCTAGTATAGGATCAAAACATGTCTAAGAGAACAATAAATTTGGTACTTAGACTAATTTACGTGGGAATAAAATGTATGCTCTGTGTTAGCAAAGATACAATTTGTGCCCACTTTGACCTTTTTGAAGGGTAAGCTTTCAACAAAATTCTTCAATCAAATCTTTCTTGGAAGCTTGTTTTTAAATTAATAAATGATTATGCAAGTTTAGCTTAGCATTTATTTCTGTAAATATTTTTCTCTTGACTATTTAAAAAAAAGGGAAATAAGTCATGGAAGTGGTTTGAACATTTGCTTATCTTTGATAAGTTTAATTGTAGGAGAAAGACTCGGCTTTCACAGTGGTTTAAAAACAAAGGGAAAAAGAAAATACAATAGCTTAGGGTGGTGTCTATAGAATAAAGATAATCCAACCACAGCTACGGTAATTTTTTACAAAACAACCATCAAGTCAAAAATGAAAGAAAATTTACTTTTTTATTAACTATATAATTTTTTATTATGATCGGCTCTGGTCCCCTAAATGGCGTGCCCCCCCCCCCCCCGCATTGCGGGGTCTGGCGGCACTGTAGTTCCGCCCCTGCCTCGTAGTTGTTAAGTATGAATACTCGAGAAAGTTTAGGGGAAATCACTCCCGGTTGATTTCGTTATGAATTTACTAACTTTGCATATGTCCGCCCTAGAACAATGAGCAAGGCCGCTTTTTTTTTATTAATCTGGAATTTTCTTCCCTAGATGAGAGTTATAAGTTATAAGGTTGTTTTTAAAGGACGACACATGTGACATACCCAGGGGTAAGGGGTTGGGGGGGGGGGGGGGTCGGAGAGGGGTTCGGAATTTTGTGTCCATGTGTCAGGAGGGGGAGAGGGATGTTCAGAAACTGTGACGACATTTTTTTTTTCTATTTTAAAAATTAATGTTAGAAACAGAATTTCAGTGGTAAATTATTGTTTTTAAAAGACTGTTTTGTACATCGCAGTAGAAATTAATGCACTCGATGATTGCTTGCTTCAGTAAAAAAAAATTCAATTGTTTACAAAAAAAAAAAAAACTAATCATTATTGTGGTTTTAGGCTGAAGAGTGACCTCATTTTAGGAGGGGGGGGCATATCTAACGATGGATAATGGGAGGTAAAAAGATCGTCAAAAAAGCGTGACGTCACATATCATATGCTCTGCCGCCAGACCACACCATACCACACAAGCGCAATGTCCTACCAACGTTTTCTTAGACATCATCCAGGATTTGGATGATGTCTGATTAGATGATGTCTGATTGGATGATGTCTGATTGGATGATGTCTGATTGGATGATGTCTGATTGGATGATGTCTGATTAGAATTATATGATGTCTGATTGGATGATGTCTGATTGGATGATGTCTGATTGGATGATGTCTGATTGGATGATGTCTGATTGGATGATGTCTGATTGGATGATGTCTGATTGGGTGATGTCTGATTGGATGATGTCTGATTGAGTGATGTCTGGTTGGGTGATGTCTGATTGGATGATGTCTGATTGGGTGATGTCTGATTGAGTGATGTCTGGTTGGGTGATGTCTGATTGTATGATGTCTGATTGGATGATGTCTGATTGGGTGATGTCTGATTGGGTGATGTCTGATTGAGTGATGTCTGATTGGGTGATGTCTGGTTGGGTGATGTCTGATTGGGTGATGTCTGATTGAATTATGTCTGTAAGGTTTGGAATATCGTGCTTCATAATATGAGATGTGCCTTTAGGTTTACTGATCTACGTCTCATGGTGTAGTTACAAATGTAGGCCAAAATGTATCATAGATCATGTGTGTTTTAGGATGGATGGCATATTTGGCAAGCATGTTGTTTTTTGACAGCGTGGTTGAAGGCGTGAATGGTATGCAGAGGCGTAGCGACCCTTCCCGGCGCCCGGAAACAAACTTTCAATTTCGCCCCCCCCCCCCCGTCAAACTTTCAATTTGCAATTTGCCCGAGAACATATGTACCTCCCACCCCTGCCCCCCCCCCCCCCCCGCTACGCCTCTGATGGTATGAGAAAAATATTGGATACGTGCCGACCCGCGGCGTATCATATGCCGCTATTTAGTTGTTTTTTTTCTACTTTTCAGTAATTCATAATTTGTGAATTCGACACTACCAATGCTGCCACTGAATATATTTGCTTTAAAACACTACCCCCCCCCCCTTCTCCCCCCCTTCTCTCCCCTCCCCCTCCCCCCCCCCCCCCCCCCCATGAAAGCAGCCTTCTCTTAGTTACATCCTCTAAGTTTAAAATCGTTTCAAACTAAATTATCTGCTCCTAATAGCCGTCACCAAACCCGGCTCTACGAATGTAAACATTTAGCGTGAACCACAGCTCACCAGACCATGTGGGGGTGGGTGGTAGCGATAGAGAGGAAGAGAGGGGATTGCAAAGCGCGCTTGCAGCTTGTTTTCTAACGTCTCCCAGAAGAGAATTATATATATGGATTCTAAAAGAGTAATGCATTCAAAATTAGGTTTTGCGTTACCTTGCTTGAAAGAGTAATAAGTTAAACTAAAGGGATATAACCTAAGATTAAATTGGAAATATTTGTGGAAAACAGTCTGAAATATGTAAGTAATTTGCTACAACAAAACAAATATTATTTAATAAACATAATTTATTAATTGCTTAAATATTATTACAAATTAATACACATTTTTCAAAAATTTAAGTTAAACGTTTAGTATAACTTTAAATGAAAACAGTAGCGTTTTGTTTAGATCGTTTGGTTTTTTTTTTTTAAAATCCTTTGCTCACTGCTAATCAACATATGTGTCATCTAATTCATATTAATTATTTGAAATAAATTTGAGTGACTCCATTCTTCACTTCACTCATTGCGGGAGCTTACGGTGTAAACATTATATTTAACTGTATACATAAATGCTTTCCATTACATACCATTGACATAATAAAAAAAAAACAGCGTGATTCAGATTATACAAGATTACATTTTTAAATTTTAAGAGACAAACATTATAGGTGTACTAGCACTATTAGTATTTCTGCAAGGCTTACCAGTGTTCAATAGTCTTATCCATGCAGGACGAACAATTTAGTATATGCACCAGTGGCGTAGCGAGGTCGGGTGTCACCCGGTGCGGCGCATTGAATGTTGTCACACCCCCCCCCCCCAGAGGCGTAGCGACTCTTCCCGGGGAAGATTTGCACCCCCCCTCGAACTTTCGATTTGCACCCCCCCCCCCCCCTCAAACTTTCGATTTGCACCCCCCCCCCTCAAATTTTTCTCTATATATTTTACTATTTTTTGCCTTGGTGTCACCCCCCTAAATGGTGTTACCCGGTGCGGTCCGCACCCCCCCCCCCCTCGCTACGCCTCTGATATGCACCACATAGTTTGTGAAGAAGTTGGGAGGGACCTTACGATAAATTTTCTCAATGGACGATTTGTCGAGATGTTAAAGCAAAATGCTGCTCCAAATTCTCGTGTTTATTGCTATCTCCTTAATGTGTAGTGACTTCAGGAGTTCTTCAGACTGTAAATGTTACATACCGCACGGTAGGTTAGCCGAGGTTGTACAGGTTGATGATTTGGTTGCAGTGTTTCTTTTAGGTATCTCTTCGCCCCCCCCCCCCCCCCCTCACCCGAAGCGCCCCCACACCCCACCCCCAATGAAATAAAATGTATATAGAAAATATATACTGCTACCAGTGTCGTCGTCGTCCCCCCCCCCCGGGAAAAATTTTATCCGCCCCTCCCCCTCCCACCCGAAAGTTTCAACTGCTTCCCTAGAGAAAACAAAGTCTGAAAGAAACACTGTTTGGTTGATTTGCTAGCCCAGCTAGACTGCTAACCCAGTTAGACTGCTAATCCAGCTAGACTGCTAACCCGAGAGTCTCGAGTTCGAATCCGGGTCCAAGTCAGTTGACCGTCCTTGAGTCCACCCAGATCTGATGAGTACCAGCTCATGTTAGGGAAAGTAAAGGCGGCTGGGCATAGTGCTGACCACACTATCCCTTCATATGCCGAGGTCTTTGAAGCAGATGAACTCTACTTCATCTGCCCCATGTGTCTTGGGCACGAACGGGAAATGGTGATCATGATTTACGATACTATTATTATGATGATGGGTTGTTTTTTTTTAAATTAATCCAAAGGATGTCTGAATATCGAGAATTTTTTTTCTAAAATTTAGACATTCTTCTATGTCCAGAATTGAGTACTAAATCAATGAATAATAATAATACAGCCCAAATGCTGACGTCCTTAATTAAGCGAGCATAAAAATTGGAAAGAAATTAGAAATTCCTTTTTTTTTCGGTGAATAAACAGAGCAAGAAAGATCAAGCTTTAATTTTAATTAGCGTCTCAAATTAATCAATATTACAACTTCTTCCTGCTAATTAATCTTCTGTAGCCTGCGGCAAACTTCGAGCTCATGGTGACGTAGATGAGAAAGTTGACGGCGGCGTTGAACTGAAACAGTACGCAGATGACGCTCTGAAGGAGGGAGTAGAGGTTCCCCGACGACAAGATGGTGATGTTGGCGTACAGCAGGCACATGTAGATGACGGCGGACGGCAGGTACGTCACCACGGTGGTCAAACACACCGTCAGCAACATTTTCGCTACTTTCGCTTCTTTGATCTTCTTTGACGCCGTGGTTGAAGATTTGGTTAATCTCTTCGACTCTCCTGTCGTGAGTTTTACCGTAATGGCCAGCGAACAAATCAATATCATGAACAACGACACCGACGAGAATAGATTATTCACGATGAAATTGGAATAAAAGTTGATGGTGTCGTAGTTTTGCGAGTAGAATTTGCTTAATGTAAGTCTGCTTACCCATACGTTGAATTTCTCGTCGAAAAACCACTGGTAACTTAACCGTGAGAACATAGGCGCCAGGAGAGCGATGGTGTAAAGGTAGATGAACACAATCACCCATCTCACGCGGGGGATTGTAAATATACGATTTACGTGCAGCGGGAAGAACACGGCTGTAAAGCGTTCAATGGCGATGGCGGCCACGTGACAGATACTCAAGGCCACGCAGATGTCGACGAAAGTGTATAGATAAATCGTCGAGAAAGTTCGGTACGTCACGGAGAGACCGAGGTCGAACTGAGCCACGAGACACTGGAGCCGTCTGAACGGTTGCAGGACGGAGCAGACGAGATCCGTCACCGACAGTGACGTCAGGATGAGGTTGGTCGTCTGCTTCTGCCCGTAGCGGGTCAGGACAAGGATGTTCATGACGTTACCCACAATACCCAGCGCGCTGAGGACGTGGACGAGGAAACAGTTGAGGAAAATGTCCAGCTTGCTCCAGAGCTCATCGCTGATCAACACGCTCGCCGCCATGTTGGACGCGTCACTTCCGGTGGTGCTGACGTTGAAAGATGGCGGGCTCGTGTTGTGAAACGTGTGCGTGACACAGCATTGGTCAGCTGATAGCGTCGTCATGCTTTTTTATTCAACAGTTCTATCCGTTTAAAATTGTTCTCTTTCTATTTACCTAGAAACACAAGATGAATATATTACACAGGAAATTTCAATTGGTTACTTCAAAAGGTTAATGTAGACAATACGCAGATAATTTCAACTGGTTAAAAAAGAAGCTGATGTAGATAATACACAGATAATTTCAACTGGTTAAAAATAAGTTGATGTAGATAATACACAGATAATTTCAACTGGTTAAAAATAAGTTGATGTAGATAATACACAGATAATTTCAACTGGTTAAAAATAAGTTGATGTAGATAATACACAGATAATTTCAACTGGTTGTTTTTTTTAAAGTTGATGTAGATAATACACAGATAATTTCAACTGGTTTTTTAAAAAAGTTGATATAGATAATACACAGATAATTTCAAGTGGTTAAAAAAAAATTGATTTAGATAATACACAGATAATTTTAACTGGTTAAAAAAGAAGATGATGTAGATAATGCACAGATAATTTTAACTGGTTTAAAAAGAGGTTAATGAGATAATACACAGATCATTCCAACAGGTTACTTAAGGGGTTGATGCAGTCTATGCGAACTCACAGAATTTGATGGAGTGAGAGGTGGTGAAAAGTCTGTAACAACCAACCGTCAAGCAGTGTTTCTTTCAGACTTTTTCTCCGGAAGGGGTACTGACAACTTTCGGAAAGAGGTGCACTTAAATTTCCGGGGGTGGGAAATTAATTAACGGATACGGTACTCAGGTTATCGACACAAGGACAGTTTCACGAAACTAAGTTGTCCCGATCCTAAGGTCGTAAGACGTCAACGTTTGTCAAAATCTCGATTAAGATTTTTTGCACGATTACAATACATCCTTTATATTTTGTATACGATAATGTAGGGAGGTGTAAAACGGCGAAAAATCAAAATTTCATGTAATTTTCGTGCACGATTACAATACTACCTCTCAGAGGCGTAGCGGGGGGGGGGGGGGCGGACCGCACCGGGTGACACCATTTAGGGGGGTGACACCAAGGCAAAAAATAGCAAAATATATAGAGAAAAGCTTGAGGGGGGGAGGTGCACATCGAAAGTTTGAGGGCGGGTGCAAATCGAAAGTTTGAAAGTTTGTCCCCGGAAGGGCCGCTACGCCTCTGGGGGGTGACTCCATTAAGTGCGGCACCGGGTGACACCCGACCTCGCTACGCCACTGCTACCTCTATACGCTGTATTCGAGAAAACAAAAAATCTAAAAACTGATTTTTGTGTAACATTCTATAAAAAGGGTTACCATCCAAGGGAAAGCACTCTAATCTTATTAGGTTTCTGGCCCTGTATAATGTTACTAGGCATGCTGCCCAGCTTTGCTTAGGCTTTCGAAAACATTGAGAATTTGAATGCTTAATTAATTCGCCCGAGGGTCGGTCTACGACCTCAGGAGTTATGAAGAGGCTCCTCCGTGGACATTTTTTTTTCGATTTATAGCTCATATAAGGCGCCGGTCAGTCGAGGTCAGTTTTGACCCCATCATCGTAGACTTTTCGGCCAACCGGCCCCCGTGTTCTGTCGCCCCAAGGCAAGATCCTGCCAAATTTGAAGCGCCTGCGGCGCCGGAAAGTACCCTGTCGGGCACCCGACAACTTTGCTTTATATATTTTAGAGATTAGCAAATTGCATAGATAAACAAAGATTTCAATAAAGTAATTAAGGCCTGAAATACTTTAGTATAGAAATGTATTATTTGAATAGATGAATCTAGAATATCTAGATCTAGAATCCAAATAAATAAAATAAATTTTATGAGTTTAGGCCGGAAAAATTGTATTGTATACATTTCATAGTGTACGTAGATCTAAATCAAACACGGTAGATGACGTCATTAGTTAATGTATAAGCAATAGTGACGTCACAGTTTTATGCGTTCTTTTTCACATCTATTAATGCTTTTCCGGTTGCATAAATAATACTGTTTCTCTACATTCGAATACGCCTTTAATTTTTATTTTTCTTCTTTTAATAAAATTGTGGTTATACATTTAAAACATCTAACATGTTATTTTCAACAAAAGTCCGTATAAAGTTCTCCATATATCGCTGCCGTTTCTGACGTGATGTCCGGCGAAAATATTTTGCGGACAGAGAGAGAGAGAGAGAGAGAGAGAAGAGCGCACATGGCGTTTTATATATTAGGATGTTGTGTGCTTGTGAGCGATGTTCACTAGTTTCCCCATGTTTTTCTATGTCATGTGACCTCCGCGAATGCGGGTAATTTCTGACGCTACACAACGGCAGTACAACTCAAAGGGTTATTTGTGGGGATTAAGATTCAATGTGCTGATGGTCGTTAATCAATGAAAGATAATTGGACTAATGAAGATAACGGCAATCAATCATTTACCGTACGTATATTGCGACTAATTGTGTAGTGAGTTGGTAATAGCTATAGTTAGCAAAATGTATACATTTAGAATCTATGTGCAGTATTTTTTTTATTACCGTAAGACAATGACTGCAGTATAATATTGTATGTCATTAATGCTGATCGTAATGCTGTTTTTGAATGTCATTATGATGCAAGTCTTAATTAGCTGAAGACTTAAACTGCCATGACTATAATTTGCCTATTTACTAGTACCGTATTTTGCAGACTAGAAAGATTTTGATTAGATACATCTTTTGATATAGAACGTCTTGTAAATCTATTTTTATATTGGCTTAAACTAGAAAGATTATAATTACATGTGCCTTTTGATATTAGATCTAGTCGTATAGATCTATTTTTATACTGTCTTGTCAAATTGTCATTGTGGGTCTGATCTGTATTGATTACACACAGTGGCGTAGGCTGGGGGGTTAGGGGGGGTCATAACCCCCCCCCCCCCCATAGACCCCTCGGTATATATATAAAGTATCAGGGGGGAGTGCAAATCGAAAGTTTGAGGGGGGTGCAAATCAAAAGTCTGAGGGGGGGGGGGGTGGTGTGGAAATCGAAAGTTTGTCCCCCTTTGAGACGATCCTGGCTACGCCACTGATTAGTCTATTCAAGAATTTGTCATAGGTTGTAATATTTTAGTATAACATTGGCAAGTGTGTAACCTATTGTTTTCTTATTTTAGGGCTATACATCACGTCATAAACGCCATTTACATTTGTGGTCATCGCAATACAAGTTCACGGATATATTCACGATATGTGTTGGTGTGTCTCTGTGTCAGCTCCTAAAAAGCACTAAACCTCAGTGGGTGACCATCACACCCAACCCCCACTGAGGCGTGTTACATTGGACGCCCTACGTGGGGTTTGATCCCTGAGAGGTTCGCAACATGGACAGTGACCCCATGACGAACTTACACAGGAGCTATCGGAGTTTAGGGCGAAGCTGAACTACAAGCTGATGTGCAGCGACCCGTGACGGTGGTGTGCTCTCACGCGTAACAGACTAAAGCTGATTACTCGTCTTCCATCCACTAGAGACGGGGAGGGGGGAGTTTCCCGCACGGGGAAAGCCTTGTCAAAGACATTCTGAGAAAGTGTTTCCAACCCACTACCGCGCATCTTAGCCAGCCTGAGCAAGCAAATAAAGCCGGGGACGCAGGGGGGAAAGCTGGTGATCTGAGTATTGCGATACCTTGTGCGCAGACGCCATGTTCTTGCAGTTCTGTCTAATCATACCAGTGGTTCGGCGTGGTCGAGTCGGTAAAGCTCATGGTTGCTAAAGTCTCGAGTTCGAACCCTCAGGCAGATGAGGCTCGTTAGCTGGGGACAAGTTTGTTCTTGGTTGGACAAAGGCTATGGAAGCAAATCCAAAAAGAAAAGCAGGCTGAAATCGGAGTCAATGGCCTCAATGGCGCATAACCAGTTGACACGTAACGCTTAATTGTGTTGGAGGCGTGGTCGAGTCGGCAAAAAGCTCATGGTTGATAAATTCGAACAAAGTCTCGAGTTCAAACCCACGGGCAGATAAATCTCGATCCCCTTCAACACTAATAATTAAGAACGAAGAAGAAGAAGATACCAATGGAGTACCTGTCCTTTACGGACCTGTTATGAGACACTGATGACGGCAGCTGTTATGAGAAGCTGGAAGACACTTTAGCGCGGAAGTAACAGCTATCCAAAGTTTTCTGCTTCGGGTGTAAATCTACGGTGCACTTCGTCCCCGACTGAAAGAAAAAGGCTAAGGAGGCTGTGGGGGAAACAGCTCATAAAAGCACAACGTAACCTTGTAAAGTGCCGGACCACGGAGCCAGCAACCAAATAAATTCCGGTTATTTCCCTTGGATTGGAATACTTCAAATTCTGGTATGTATTACATTTGTTTTGATTTTTTTTCTCTGTATTCTTTTAACATCAAGTATACACCGTATAAGATATTATGGTCGTGGTAATACACGATTTTTGTAAACAATAAAAAAAAAAAAACCAGTAGGGTGTGGAGTAGCCGGGGTCACTCAACATTTTCATTTTAAATTAAGACTTACTTTTTTTTAAAATGTGTTAAACATCTAAGTAGTAAGTAGATATAATTTTTAATTCATGATAATATATTTTAATTAAGTCATTGAAATGTAGCTTTGAGTGATTAAATTAAAACGTTCTTCATTTTTTTTTTAAATGCTGCAATAATTATATACACGTTATGTTAATTTTTAAATTTATTGAACCCTAACTGCCTGCTAAACTGAGTTTAGTTTTGGTTTTAGTCGGACTGGATTCCTCTGGCCATGTAATGTTCTTATCATTTTCTGAGTTATCACGTGGTTTCCCTGGCCCCCGTTAATGAAAATTCACTACTGACCTTTAAATCTTACTGTAAAGTAGCATGGGGTTCGGGTCCCAGACTAGAGTCGTAGCACGCCCCAGAGCCTAACCAGCTCTGATGGGTAACTGACTCACGTTAGGGAAAGTAAAGGCGGCTTTGCATAGGGGTCATCCATAAATGACGTCAAGCTTTTTTGACGATTTTTACCTCCCCCCCCCCCCTCCGTCACACGTCGTCACAAAAAGCCACCCCCCCCCCCTAAAATGACGTCACACCTCAGCCTACAACACCCCTCAAAATTGCAGTTGATTTTTTTTTTAAATATCGATATTTTTCTAAAATCTTGTCTGAACTCTGTCAAAATAGAGTATTTTAATCAATTCCTATTACAATTTATTAAAACAGTATTCTAAAACGCAAAATAACGTCTAAATTTCGTTTTCTAACATTGCTTTTTTATAATGCAAAAGTGTGACGTCGCACCATCTGAACCCCCCCCCCCCCTCCCCCTCATCACACACCGTCACAAAATTACGGACCCCCCCCCCCCCCTACGAGTGTGACGTCATTTATGGACGACCCCATAGGGCTGACCACGCTTTCCTGTCATATGCCGAGGTCACAGAAATAGGTAAACTCTTCTTCACCTGCCCCGCCGGGGGGGGGGGGGGGCGCTAGGTCCGTAATGAGCGAAGAAAGAAATGTACACCAGCTCTAAGTAAGACAGTGCAAGCACAGTTTTGTTATTGGTTGCATACCATGTTAGTGGTGAAAAATAAATAAGGTAAGGTTTAAGCTTAGCAGAAGCTTTTTGAGTTTAAACTACTCAGAAACGTTTGTTGAGGTTGGTCGAAATTGTAGTTTTTTGTTTAGCATTAGATCTATAAATCTTGTTGACGAGACTGGCTTATATTCTCTCCCATTTTATGAAAAAGTGTATTATGGGAAGTAACCTAAAATTTGATTTGCTAAAATTTAAAAAGGAAATTAAAAATCATATTTTTATTATATTATTAATTGGGATTTACAAAACTGGCATATTTAAAGTTTATAATGAAAATGTGTCTTGTTTTTGCGTTTTGCCGAACACGAATTTATATTGCACGCGTAGTTACAAAATGAAAGTGTAAGCAATATTTCATATTAGTTCTTATAACAAAAAAAATAATTTGTTAAAGTGTTACAAACTGCCCATTTAAGCCCAAATTTTTTTTTACATTTAAAGAAAGAAAAGTTAAGATGTGGACCAAATTAATTAAACTAAGCAGTCAAAAGAAATAGCGTTACATACCCTATTTCAGTCTAGCTCATATGCCACTCTACTTTCTCCATTTAATTATTATAAATACAATTGATGTTCATGTCTTTGAAACCGTATCACTACAAAATAAATTATTATTACTATTTTAAATTTTTTAAATAAATTAAAAACTACCATTAATAATGGGAACTGCTAAGATGTTTCCATTAAGCTTGGATTGTAGTCCGATTGGGTGTTTTGTATGTTTTGTTTCGCCTGGTTTTGTTTCTAGTTTTTTATTTCTATCTTTTCAAAAGTATTGCTTCCATTTTTAGCGCAATTTCCATACTGGCAATTGCGTAAAGCCCGCATTGGCCAGCCAATCTGCGCATTGGCCGGCTCTCTTGGCCCGAAGAGCTTAGCACTGAGAGAGCATTTTGTACATTGGCTGGCCAATACGCGCGCTGGCCTGGACGTACTGGCCAAAGTCCGAAGACCTTTAACTTGACAACTTATGTCCTGCATTGGCCGGGAACGGAATGGCCAAAGTCCGAAAAAATTAAAATTGACAACGCGTTTCATACATTGGCCGGCTAATGCGCGCACTGGCCGGGATGTTCTCTCTAGACTAAGTTGTGATCGCGTTTTCATTATTCTGGGTGATGTTTTATTGAGAGTATCGTATTGTTTGACTGTTTGTATAGCATTCTACATGCAATGCGATATGGACCAAAAGGGCCGCCAGACATACCAGATGGCTGCCAAAATAAATAATTCAAATCCTAATCCTAATGGAAGAGAATTTGTGAATCAAGTTATTTCTGAACTATACAACATGTGGCCTGAACTTAAATTAGTTCACGGAAATCCAAGGCATAGCCAAAGCCAAGATTCAGTAGAACGTGATGCATGACATGGATGCAGACAAATCAATCAGCTTATTGGGCCCAGAGTCTCAAATACATTCAATTTATGAAAAACCGTTCTTTTTATAAAGTATACCAACAATCGCCATACGAAGCCTTGTTTGGATGCAAAACAAAAGTGGCACCTAGCACTTCAAATCTACCAAGAGAGGCTCTCGATAATTTAGTTACTGAGTAAGATCTTGAGAACATTGAACAAGAAATAGAGGTTTTCATACATGCAACGACATTCTCAGCTAACACATATGCTGCCGTGGCTTCTAATTAGGACTTTGGCCGGTCCACCATGGCCAGTCCGCGTATTGGCCGGCCAAAGGCTGAAATCAAGTTAAGTTTCGGACTTTGGGGTCAACGAGAGGCAATATTGGCCAGAGCGCGCATTGGCCGGCCAATGCGCGCTTTGGCCGACTTCGGGCTTTGACCGTAACAAAAATATATGGGCTGTATATATATGCCTAATATATACTCAAATGATTTTTTAATTAACCATTAATTGAACTGGCAGTTTTTTTACCTGGTGTCACCAGCTTAATGGTGTCAACCGGCGCGGTCCGCACCCCCGCTACCGCCTCGCAACGCCTCTGCTATAGACAGTGTTTTTTCTTCCAGACATTATTCTCCGGGGGGGGGGGGGCGGGACACGGGACGGACACCGTTAAAAGTATATATTTTCTGAATATGTCAATTTCGTTCGGGGGGGCTGTAGACTTTCTTCGGGAGGGGGTGGGGGGAAGGGCTCTGCGCCCCCCCCCCCCACTCCCCCGAAGAGATGCCCTCAAGAAACTAGGCTTGAGAAACTTAGCATTTTAGTCCTGATTGTTAGAATTGAAGATTAAATCAACAAGGTTTGTTTTAAATATAATAAAATGTAATATATAATTTTTTTAATGCAATGACTTGTATCTCAGGTCAAGCTTTTGAGATACACCACACCCCCCCCCCCCCACCTTGCCTTTTCCCGTCAATTAACTAACCATTCAATTCAAATTTTGAATTAAACTTTTTGTATGAATTAGTTATGTTAACGAATGTGAATAAAAAATTTTGTCAGCAAGAAAGATGAATATTGTAAGTCTATATCACTCATCACAAGCCGATGGTGAAAATAATAATACAGAGGCAAATTAGCTGACAAAGCAAACTGATGCAAAAAAAGGTCGGGGGGGGGAGGGAGTGGGGAGGGCGGGGGAAGACGTTTTGAAAAAAAAGACCATACATTCAAAGCAATAAAATCAATTACGTTGAGGGGGTCGGCATGGTCGAGTCGGCAAATCTCATGGTTGATAAATTCGAAAAAAGGCTCGAGTTCAAACCCTCTGGCAGATAAGGCTCGATCTCTCCCAACACTAAAAAATTAAGAACGAAGAAGAAGAAGAAGAATTACGTTGAAATTTAAAAGGAATACGAAAATTAAAATCCTTAATTATATAAAAAAAAATGACAATAGAAAGTTTCTTTGATTGGGGTGAAGGGGGGGGGGGTTGCACTCCACCCCCAACCCCAACCGAAATAGAATTTAAACAGGAAAATAAAAAAAAATATACATTTTTACCTGCCCGCCCCTTCTCCAGCCCTCCATCCCCGCCGCAAGTATTAAATGCCCGATTCCCCCCCCCCCCCATCCCACATCCCGAATAAAAACAAGTTTGAAAGAAACACTACTTAAGAACCACTGATAACAAAACGCACGATAAAATTCAAATTCTGATTGCGAATTAACAACAAGCGGCTCTTATTCAGCGATTAGCCAATCACTCTCACTATCAAAAGATAGTTACAATTCCAGTTAGCCTTTTTAATCAGGTGTTTGCTATTCAGAAGATTGTTCTAAATTATAAATTTAAAACAACTAAAAAAAAAAGATTGTAAAAAATAGCCTTAAGATTTGTATTCCAAAACAATCCATCTACCTAGACAGAAACAATACTTACACTACCTCTATCAGCAAGCGGGCACTACTTTCTTTCAATACGGAATATATTCATCCGCAAACATCGAAGATGGATAATTAAATTTTGTTTCAAATGATGATAGCCATAGTTTAAAAAGGGGGCGTTGCGTGGTTTCTTCTCCATCTATATTTAACGGATGTTTGTAATAACTGGCTATAGTCGATTGTCAATATCGTTAAATATTTTCTTTGTAATTATTAGACTAGACTTCAAATAAACCATCATTTTCTCTTAAGATGCAGTAATTAGACTCAAAATTATTTTTTGAAAACTAAATTTCTCTTTTAAATAATTGTCTCAGACAATACAAAAAATACACAACCTAAGAAAATAATAGAAATTATGTTTTGGACGCTTTAATAGTGGGTTTACATTATAATAAAAATGATTCGCCGTTAATTCAAGTTGAAGTTTTTAAAAAATCGAAGTAATTCCTTTAATTGTTGATATCATAGATATCAGTTACGGGGTAGTTTGAATGGTAAGGAATCGGTAGCTTTTATTCTAATCTCGAAATATTTAAAGAAAGAAAAACAATAGTGAAACAAGTTATCTCTACCAGCAGTGATCATGAGTAGTAAAGTGGTCCTAAAATATGGGAGGTAACCTAGGATTAATTGCTAAAATAAACATGAACAATTAAGAAATGAATATATAACTTCATCGTTATCTAATAGAATTAATAAATTACCATTTTACTAATTTATTGTGAAAATATGACATATCTTTACATTTTTTTCATATGATTATTTACATTGAAATAGTAGATATAAATGAAAAACATTAGCCATATAAATTACTTTAATATTTAAATTAGATATTCAAGAAATTATTTTACTGACAGTTAAGCTTACTCAAACTCACCAAATTTTCTTCACTCCCAAGTTTATTACATATCATACTAGCTAGAGACTCATACCGCTCAATGCACCCCACCCGAAATTTTTTTAAATTTACATTTTTAACAGAACGTTGAATCCCCATTTAATTACACATTTGCTTTTTCAAGTTTAAAAATGAAATTGTAATTTTTTAAAAAAATAGAAACACATGACAAATCAAAAAGCATCTATTAAAAAAAAAACTAGTCCAAAAACGTAACCCCCTATACAACAGAATAAAACGGTGCACGAAGTACGCTCTAACAGACAGACACCTTCAGGAACCTTCACCTTAAACCATCACGCCAAGCTAGGGAAATAATATATCGACTCGTATATAATACAACAACAATAGCATTAAATCGGAAACTCTCTTGTCCACTGTGTAGGCAAAATACACTGGAAACAGAAACACATCCGTTTCGAATGTCCTACCTTAGTAGACTATGAAAAAGACGCCAAGGACCAAAATAATTGGTAGAAAATATATTTTTTTAACGTTGACTTAGCTATAACTAAATAAATTCACCAATCAAAAAGCAAGGCATTAGAGGAAAAAGGAAAGACGGTAGCTATTTACAGACAAACTATTTGGACAAGTTGAAACAGAGCGGAATATGACAACACACAGTTCACAGGACAGATATTAGATTTGATGTATAACAATTACAGCACACAAACACACACGCTATAAATAGTAACACCTGAACATGTATATCACATGGCACAGATTTAGACGCCTGGCTCGCCTTTCACTTCCTGCACGCATCGCCACCCCACCTCCTCTGACCCCATGACACCACCCCTATACCCCCATATCCCCTGTCCCTGCTCCCACGGTCCCATCACGTCCCCATCCTCATGCCCCCACCCCTCACATCGATTATGTCTATATTTATTTAAGTTTGTTAAAAATAAATTGTGTAAAAAAGGTCTACACAGCATATTTTTTGTATGTATATAATTATAAATTCATTATCAATAGGTTTTTAAACTGTGATAACCTAAGGGAGCAAATTTTTTTATTCTCTTATACACGTTAAACCACAGTGTGACTTTTCGATACCCCACTGTTTTCCCCACACCTCATAACTAAGTCGAACTCAGAAAATAACAAATCAACTCCCAAATAACTTACTCAGCATCCGAGGCGTAGTGAGGGCGGGGCGGTGGGGGGGGGGGGGGTGCGGACCGCACAGGGTGACACCATTTCGGGGATGACACCAAAGCAAAAAAATTGCAAAATATTCAGAGGAAAAATGCCTTTTTGCCAGTTCCTATCAACAGACTATAGATAAACATTGTTACTATTACGTCTGCAGTGATTAAAGCTCATTAGCATACATGTACGAATAAAAAATATGTGGCATATATTTAAATTAAAGGCCGACACACACACACACGCATATTGTGTCTTGCTGTTGTGTCTTGCTGTTGTGTCTTGCTGTTGTGTCTTGCTGTTGTCTTGCTGTTGTGTCTTGCTGTTGTGTCTTGCTGTTGTGTCTTGCTGTAGTGTCTTGCTGTTGTGTCTTGCTGTTGTTTTGCTGTTGTGTCTTGCTGTTGTCTCTTGCTGTTGTGTCTTGCTGTTGTGTCTTGCTGTTGTCTTGCTGTTGTCTTGCTGTTGGTGTCTTGCTGTTGGTGTCTTGCTGTTGGTGTCTTGCTGTAGTGTCTTGCTGTTGTGTATTGCTGTTGTGTCTTGCTGTTGTGTCTTGCTGTTGTCTTGCTGTTGTGTCTTGCTGTTGGTGTCTTGCTGTTGGTGTCTTGCTGTTGGTGTCCTGCTGTTGTGTCTTGCTGTAGTGTCTTGCTGTAGTGTCTTGCTGTTGGTGTCTTGCTGTTGGTGTCTTGCTGTTGGTGTCTTGCTGTTGGTGTCCTGCTGTTGTGTCTTGCTGTAGTGTCTTGCTGTAGTGTCTTGCTGTAGTGTCTTGCTGTAGTGTCTTGCTGTAGTGTCTTGCTGTAGTGTCTTGCTGTAGTGTCTTGCTGTTGGTGTCCTGCTGTTGTGTCTTGCTGTTGGTGTCCTGCTGTTGTGTCTTGCTGTTGTGTCTTGCTGTAGTGTCTTGCTGTAGTGTCTTGCTGTAGTGTCTTGCTGTAGTGTCTTGCTGTTGTGTCTTGCTGTTGTCTCTTGCTGTTGTCTCTTGCTGTTGTCTCTTGCTGTTGTCTCTTGCTGTCTCTCTTGCTGTTGTCTCTTGCTATTGTCTCTTGCTGTTGTCTCTTGCTGTTGTCTCTTGCTGTTGTCTCTTGCTGTTGTCTCTTGCTGTTGTCTCTTGCTGTTGTCTCTTGCTGTTGTCTCTTGCTTTTGTGTCTTGCTGTTGTCTCTTGCTTTTGTGTCTTGCTTTTGTGTCTTGCTTTTGTTTTGCTGGTGTGTCTTGTTGTTGTTGTCTTGCTGTTGTTGTCTTGCTGTTTTCTTGCTGTTGTTGTCTTGCTGTTTTCTTGCTGTTGTTGTCTTGCTGTTGTCTTGCTGTTGTGTCTTGCTGTTGTCTCTTGTTGTTGGTGTCTTGCTGTAGTGTCTTGCTGTAGTGTCTTGCTGTTGTCTCTTGCTGTTGTCTCTTGCTGTTGTGTCTTGCTGTTGTCTCTTGCTGTTGTTGTCTTTCTGTTTTCTTGCTGTTGTTGTCTTGCTGTTGTCTTGCTGTTGTGTCTTGCTGTTGTCTCTTGCTGTTGTGTCTTGCTGTTGTGTCTTGCTGCTGTTGTCTTGCTGTTGGTATCTTGCTGTTGGTGTCTTGCTGTAGTGTCTTGCTGTTTTGTCTTGCTGTTGTGTCTTGCTGTTGGTGTCTTGCTGTTGTGTCTTGCTGTTGTGTCTTGCTGTTGTGTCTTGCTGTTGTGTCTTGCTGTTGTGTCTTGCTGTTGTGTCTTGCTGTTGTGTCTTGCTGTTGTGTCTTGCTGTTGTGTCTTGCCGTTGTGTCTTGCTGTTGTGTCTTGCTGTTGTCTCTTGCTTTTGTGTCTTGCTTTTGTGTCTTGCTTTTGTGTCTTGCTTTTGTCTTGTTGTTGTTGTCTTGCTGTTGTTGTCTTGCTGTTTACTTGCTGTTGTTGTCTTGCTTTTGTCTTGCTGTTGTGTCTTGCTGTAGTGTCTTGCTGTTGTGTCTTGCTGTTGTGTCTTGCTGTTGTCTCTTGCTGTTGTTGTCTTGCTGTTGTGTCTTGCTGTTGTGTCTTGCTGTTGTGTCTTGCTGTTGTGTCTTGCTGTTGGTGTCTTGCTGTTGTCTCTTGCTTTTGTGTCTTGCTTTTGTCTTGCTGTTGTCTCTTGCTTTTGTGTCTTGCTGTTGTGTCTTGCTGTTGTGTCTTGCTGTTGTCTCTTGCTGTTGTCTCTTGCTGTTGTCTTGCTGTTGTGTCTTGCTTTTGTCTTGCTGTTGTCTCTTGCTTTTGTGTCTTGCTTTTGTCTTGCTGTTGTCTCTTGCTTTTGTGTCTTGCTGTAGTGTCTTGCTGTAGTGTCTTGCTGTTGTGTCTTGCTGTTGTCTCTTGCTGTTGTCTCTTGCTGTTGTCTCTTGCTGTTGTCTCTTGCTTTTGTCTTGCTGTTGTGTCTTGCTGTTGTGTCTTGCTGTTGTGTCTTGCTGTTGTCTCTTGCTGTTGTGTCTTGCTGTTGTCTCTTGCTGTTGTGTCTTGCTGTTGTGTCTTGCTGTTGTGTCTTGCTGTAGTGTCTTGCTGTAGTGTCTTGCTGTTGTGTCTTGCTGTTGTGTCTTGCTGTTGTCTCTTGCTGTTGTCTCTTGCTGTTGTCTCTTGCTGTTGTCTCTTGCTGTTGTCTCTTGCTGTTGTCTCTTGCTGTTGTCTCTTGCTGTTGTCTTGCTGTTGAAGACGTGTGGTCGCCGTTGTACTTGCCGTGCTGGTGTTGACTCTGGGGATTTCTATGTGTGCCGTGCTGATATTGTGAGTTGCTGTTGAGGATGGTATACCTTCGTTTGCTACCATTGGTCTACCATGAAAGCTCTATTTTTTGTAGAGCTGATTGGAAGATTGGCTGATATGGGGCGGAGTGGTCTAGCGGTAGAGAGCTGAACTGCTAATGTGACGGTAATGTGATTCTACCGCCACCCTGTGCTCCGCCTCTTCCTCCCTCTTCTCCCCCCCCCCCCCCCCCCCCCCGTTAGACTGTTCAGTCGCTAGATCTACATTGTGACTCATCCCAAGCCGAAAAGGCTTATGGGACAGGCCCGTCGCTGGTGCGATATTAGGGCCGGTAACCGATTAACTCGGTCTTTCTACCCCGACCACTGCCCTTGCTCAGCGCACCTGCACGCTAACCCTCACCCTGGGTATAAGCGTCCAAGAAATTAGGAGTTATCGCTTCTTAGCAGAAGGTATTTGATTATTTTAAAAAACTAGAAATCTATAATATCGACCTTAAGTGTCATATGTTTTATTGTCTGCATTTGATGTAATTTTACTATTATCTATATTGTTGTAATTTTCCCTCAACTTGAGTTGTATTGAATGAGTACCTCTCATTACTATATCCCACAACATTGTTCTATCCTACACATGTAACTCTAGTTATGTTGTTTTTGTTAGCAATATTTAGTAGGCCATGCCTTCTATTTACAGCGTTCTAGGTCGGGGACCAATCATTCAACTCACAACTGCTATTTTAACAGACAAGGCGAACGCATGTGTACGCGTTGGAAGTCTCAAGTTATTAAGTTATGTAAACTCTATATGTGTAATGAAAGTTTATAATTAAGACATCACATACGCAAAACAAAGTTTGTAATAAATTTATTAATAACCTTCTAGGTTATTAGCGTTATTATTTTAATATCAGTAACTGTTGTACTATATTCCCGGTAGAGAAGCGGCACAGACCCTCCTACCGGTTGAATTTACAGATTTTACTACTATCACGGTACAAATATACAATTTTACCGTTAACAGCTAACCCGTACGTATCGAGTTCGAATCCGGGTCCAAGTCAGTAGACCGACCCTGAGTCCACCCAACTCTGATGGGTATCTAACTCACGTTAGGGAAAGTAAAGGCGGCTGGGCATAGTGCTGACCACACTATCTCTTCATATGCCGAGGTCACAGAAGCAAGTGAACTCTACTTCACTTGCCCCATAGACCGTCATGTTTGAAAAGGGAACTTTTTTTACTGATTGGCAGAAGAGTTTGTACGTCTGACTTGATGCAGGGAGGGCGAGGCGATTTGGTGTCGCGTGAATTGGTAGGTTCAAATCCTGTTGGGTTTAAACTGTTCTGTCTTTACTTGGACTATATTCTGTACCTTTGTCTACTGTTGGCGTTGAAATATCACTTTCTGTTTACATTGCTACTTCATGTGCTTGTGATATTGGAACTGAATTTCGTCTGGGGCTGGTAGGTGGAAGTGGTTAGTCCAATATTGGGTAGATGAGCATCGTTGGCAGGCGTTGCCTTCGTGGGCATTAGCTCAACTAATGCCCAAAAGATGCATCAACAACTAAGCCTAGCCGCCGTGAATGTATTGCCATTTCACCAAAATTCTTTGTTTCCTTTTGAATTAACGTCTTTTTTTATTTTTGCACAAAATCATCGAGGACTTCTATTTTCATCCTGAGATGAAGGAAGAGGAGAAAATAAACAAAATGGAGACACAACTGCAAGGTGTTGCTGATGCTTCTGTGTGGATTCTCGAAATTTGAAAAATAAAAGATCTGAATAGGCCTAGATTTGGTGTAGTTTTTTTTTTGTCTACACATTTCATTTGGTGTGAAAAAGACTAGATTCATATTGTCTTTGGTCTGGGTAAAACATGCATAGGCCAGGGGTCGGCAACCTGCGGCTCGCGAGCAGCATGCGGCTCCTTTGATGGCAAGATGCGGCTCTCCAGCTCCATGCACAATTATTAATAATTTTATTTTATTTTCAAAACTCATAAAAATATTAGTCTGCAACACTCTGTAATAAACGACATAACAATTGTTATAAACAATAAACATTCACTATTATATTAGAATATTTAGTTACTCCCTATCTCAGTGTAGGCCTACTTCCTATTACATTGTCCATTCCAAATTGAAATATTCAACTTCACAAAGAAACTAAACCAGTTAAGTGCAAAACTGAAAGGAAAATCTAGCCTATGTCCTGCTTGAAAAGGTGGTTTGTTTCGAAAAAAAAAAAAAATTTGAATACATGATTAGCGGTAAATTACTAAAAATATCGTTCAGAAACCAGTACCTATTCAATCACTTAAGCATTAATATAAACAAACTGAAGGATGTTTTCACTGAGAGATTTGAACTATTCAAAACAAATGCAAGTACTCTGACGTTCATAGTAGACCCTCTCAACACAAATTCAAATGAGAGTATCTCATATATTCAAAGCTGTTTATTTTAATATTTTAATTATTTTATATATATATATATATATATATATATATATATATATATATATATATATATATATATATATATATATATATATATATATAGTATGATATTTGTTTAGGATTATATATTTACTAAACAAATATACTATTGACATAAAAATGTTAGTGGCTCTTTAAGAACCGGGTAATGTTGTAAATTGTAAGTTTTGGCTCTTTTGTCTCAAGTGGTTGCCGACCCCTGGCATAGGCTGATATTTAGTAAATTTTCCAGTGTCGCTTTAGCGACGACTTTTAAGAATGCATGCAATCAGAGTGCACGCTATTTAGAATAGACCGGTCGAATTTGAGCTAATAATTAAATTAAAAAAAAAAGTGAGTTTTTTTTATTAATGAAGTTATTTGCAAGCGAGTTAATGTTTTTTATTTGTAACTTCAGTTGTAAATTAAATATCATTTTGATAACACGTAAGAATCGGACACATTTTCATAAAAATCTATTATGTTAATTAATTACTTCCTATTAGTGAATCATAATGAGTTATAGAATGCAACTCTTAATTATCTGCGTTTATTTCAGCAATTTTATACCAGGTTACCTCCCATGTCATAGGCTCATTTAGGTACTCAAGGGAAGTAATGTAATAATTTGCCCTGATCCTACCTTCCCTACCTTTGATTAGAGACCCTGATTTTGTACATCCATTTCGTTTTGTCTTTGTCCAAACTTTTAAAGTTTTCGTGTTGTTTAAACTTCACACAGCATCGGTTAAAAAAAAATTTCCTTCGCTTGTTTTATCTTTCCTAGGATCTATACAGTGTCTACCTCAGTCCAGGGTACATTTCTTTCTTCCAGTTCCACTTGTGGACAGTTAGGTCTGGCGTCCATTTTTCTGACACTCAGCACCTGATAACCCTCCCTCCCCTACCAACAAAACATCACATTTCTTTCTATAACAACAAGCCCCAAATCTCATTACATTTATCTTTTTCATCTTGTGCCCAAGACACATGAGGCAGATGATGCAGAGTTCACCTGTTTCAATAACTGCATCATATAGGGGGGATAGTGTGGTCAGCACTATGTCCAGCCGCCTTGATTTCCCTAATAATTCAGGTACCCATTAGAGCTGGTTGGACTCAGATTTATAACTGATTTATGCCTGAGGTCTCAACACAACACCAAAACATTCACAGTAACATCATTGCTTAACCCTATTCCTACAACCTTATTTCACTGTTCAACTACAAGTTGGGTAGAACTGACGCGTGAACTTTTTATATAAGAATCTATTTTAAAAAAAACACACAAACAAGTAATAAAATTGTCAGATATATATATTTTTATAGATTTGATAAATCCTACTATATAGTTACGTATAAAGGCAAATGGTGAATATTCATTCACTGAGAAACGCATTGATAACTGAGTTAGAAAATGATTACAAATGGCTTGAGGAAAAAAAGTTGTATACAAAGAAATATGGTGACAATGCCATGTGGGCAGATGCCCTCTCTAGACACCAATTTTGGTAGAATATTTAATCTTAAGATACCAGCATCATAAATCTTTTTGATAAATCAAAAAATTGTATTGTTACATAACTAAAACCAAACCAATTCAGTTTAGCAGGAGAGTGTTTATATCTGTTTAAATTGAGTTGGTGTTCAAGTAATTTAAAAATAAACAAAACATGTTCATAAATAATGCAGTGTTGTCTTACAGGAAGAACAATTGAAAAGCTACATTTGACTGAAAAAAATATCATTCATTACATTTTAATATCTATTTTACTTTTTAGATGTTTAATGTATTTCTCACAAAAAGTTTTAAATTTAAAATTATCATCCATCATATTTATTTTAATAAAAACAAAAAATTCTCCCCTATACTTTCTAAATCACGCAGTTTAAATATTTTGAGCAAGCAATGTTGATTACATTTTTAAAAATATAGTTCATTTTAAACTTGTGTTAAGACATGATAGCCTCAATTAATATAACAACGTAGGCCTAAACTTTTTTTTTTAAATCTAGTCAATAGTTTGAATAAACAGTGGAACGTTTATCTTACATCAGTCACACACAATGAAAACACAAAATTATTCAACATTGCATAGAAGGATCAGCTTTTAAAGTAATCTCTCAGTAAATATAATGTCAATTGGGTTCAATGTTAAAGAGTAGATCTTGTAGTATGGTTAATCCTCTAATTAGGTTTATCATTTCTACTAAAGTTAATCCTCTAATTAGGAATCTTAATTTAGGTCTAGTAAAGTTTTTTAACCAGTAATCCTCCAGTAACTGACTCAAACTTTCCCAGATTTTTGTATATAACAGCTGTTCAAATATTTACATACAAAATGTAGACTAAACATGTTCAAAATTTTGATGCCCAAATACCACTACAAGAAAATGCAAAATTGTTAATACCAGAAATGATCTTTGGACCAAAACATTTTGGTGCATTATCAAGAAAGGTTGGAAAACATGGGCAAACAATGAACCATAGCTAATGTTCTTTTTTAATTTGCTTTCTTTAATATGAATAGGGTAAGCATAATTAACAATAAAACTTAAATAAAAAGTATCTTCAGTACAAAAAAAGATTAAACAACAACTTAGCTAATAATTATATTATAACTAGTTTATTTACAGACAGAACAAACTCTTCAAACAAATGTTTCAAAATGTATACAGTCTTCATCAGACTGATAAAGAAAACACACAATAATGTCAAACGGTGGCTTCAGCTTCACAAAATTGATTATTATAAGTAAAATAGTAAATACACCTTATATCATTCTTCTGTAATAGACACCATTCTTACAGAGCAAATGTATAAACAAGAATATATTATGTGCATAGAAGTATACTATATTATTCTATGAGAGGAATTAGCCTAGGATGATTCTAGCCTCATCTCATTGCACGGTTCATGAGAAGCTTACATTTTAAAAATTCTATCAGATTCAATCTTACATTCATCCAAATTTACATTGACATAACAGAATATCACTAACTTACACCTACTACAAAATATCACTTTAACATATCCCAGTTAAAGAATATCATTATAAACTGAATCTATTGAGTACTAAGTCTCAGTCATGACCAATGTTAAAATATTACCACCAAAAAAATCAAGTTTTAAGAAAACAAAATACAACAGTAAGCTTACACAAATCACAACTTGCCAGCATCCCTACATGACTTACAGCACATGTTGGCAAAAATGTGAATACCACACATGTGTCTGAGGACATAGCGCCTACAGTCCTGGACCTTTCTTGTGTCAACACACTTGGTGCTTGGGCCTGAAAGACAAAGGTCAAACTTATAGGTTTTATCTTACATGCACATGTGTATAAGCTGATATAATGTAAAACTGATTTTGTTAAATGGTCCTAGAGTTCTTTTGAAAGTTGCTATGTCAAGAACTCAAGATTCTTAGATAGTGGGTTCCTCAATTTTTCTTATATATATATATATATTTATATATATATATATATATATATATATATATATATATATATAGGATGTTTTAAAAAGTTAGACATCCTATAAAGTTGCCATGTGGGGGTGGGTTCTAAAAGTATGACACAAACTCAACACAAAGATATTTAATTTAAATAGGCTCTTCACCCTTTAAAATAGGAAAGTAAAATACACAAATTTTGTAGGCCTACTTTTAAAAAAATCACAAATGAAAGCATACATGATAAGTATATTAAAATGTAGGAGAACGATGCTTGTATGTCTATACCATGTACGTTTAATCAGAATAGTGCAGGGGTTCACAATTTGTCAAAAATGCATCTTTTTAAATTAAAAAAAAAATAGAGACTTTGTGTCTTAACTTATTTATATGCAATCCAATAGTAGTGCAGGGGCCCATAAAGAAATATTTTTGTCTAAATAATTATTAGTAGTGCATTTAAAAATCAAAATATTTATTTAGAATGCCTCAGTCTTTGTAACTATATGTTATACATATGTATTTATACATAGCTGGTTCTACAGTGATATGGTAGGACTACACCAAAATACACTTGCTTATTAAATACAACTACGTAGGCTTAATAGTCCTTAGTTTCTTTAACATATTTAATGCATTTTTTTTGGTCTAGTATCCCACTAAAGGCTATTCAATTCTGCACATTTTACATGTATTTATTTATAAAGAGGAGTTGCTCGACTGCCATTGAATATCACATATTATGCAGAATTTGAGCTTAAAATTTACTTTTTAATGGTACCAAACCTATTATTATACGAGCCCTGTGAAGTAAAAAGCTACTACATTTGGGTGACAAAGGCAAAAATTGCGTTTTTTCTACTACCAATGACATCTTGCAGACAAGTATGGGATGGTGTAGTTGAATGGTATCAACATACAACTCAAAATTCTCAATTTCAAATTTATTACAATTTAGTTCTAGTTAGTAGAAACACCCTGAGGCCACCTAACTCATAATTGGGGAAATGTATGCAGTTAAGGGTACTTTACATAAGTGGGATTGTATATTTTAACAAGCCCAATAAAGTAGCTTATCAAGATATCTTTTTGTCTACATCACATACAGTGCCTTGATAAAAATGTACATCTTGCTAGTTGTTTTATGAAACACAATCGACAGCATGCAGGCACACGTCTACCTATATTTCTTACATTAAAAAATTATTCCCTAGTTTTTATAATCTAGTTTATTTTAGGCGTGTATCAAGACCAGTAAATTATTTTTAAACTTTAAGGGAAGGAGAAGAACATGGCCAACAACTTACTCTGTAGTTGTATCTGGATGGTGGTCACATCCTCCACTGCCTTCTCTGTGCTGCCGTTGGCTATACACTTGTAGGTGCCGGAATCTTCTATGGACGCAGAGAGGATGGTCAGGTCCCCATTGCTCACTCTGGTGTTGTTGTCACTGGTCAGGACTTTCCCGTCCTTCTTCCATTCTAAGGTAGGGGCAGGGTACCCGGCGCCCTTGCAGACCAAAGTGATTGTGTCCCCTTCTGAGTAGGTGTGTTTGTGCTTCTGAATGGTTACCTCAACTGGATCTATTCAGCCAAACAAAACAACAATTATGAGTGATTCTGATTTACTGTAATAAGTAAATGCACTTATTACACATAATTTTTTTATATTGATCTCTAACTTGCTGTTTTCAAGCTCAATGTATAAATTTGTATTTTTTCAAACATTTTTAACAAGCAATTTTGTTTTTTTAATGAACTTTAATGTTTTAAAGTAACAGTCATTTTTGCTCAAGACTAACTCTGTGTTAAAACATAAAACAAACTCAGCTATTAACTTATTCGTATTAGACTGCCATAATATTTAGCAAAGAATGACAAAATACTCAGATGGCTTTATAACTGGTTACAATCAATTTCATTTTACTTTCACCTGAGGCTGTTTCTGATTATGAAGGGCACAGCAGAGGGGCCCCCATTTTTAGGGGCCTTTTAAAATTCTTTCTTAGTGATTAGTGCTCTAGTAAAATATAAACTGGTATAAATAAAACACAGCCATTTTTAATACTGACCTCTGATTTGGACCTGGATCTTTCTTCTACTAGGGGAGTTCACTCCATTTTCAGCAGAGCAGGTGTAGTCCCCTGCATCCTCAGGCTGGATGCTGTCAACGACCAAGGTGCCGTTACCGAAAATCTGATGATGTCTGCCGGAGCTTAAGACCCGGCCCCTGTACTCCCAGGAGACCCGGGGCGGGGGTGTACCTGTGGCGTGGCACGTCAGGACAGCTCTGACACCTGGTTTGAATGCCATGCGGATAGGTCCAGGCATGATGTGTACAGGCACTGGGATCAAGGAAACAACAGGTCAGCTATACACTGATAAATACAATGGTCAGCAATACATTTGTCTTACTAATAGGGTAAATGGGAAGGCATTAAGCACTTCCTAACCAGGAAGTCTTTACTTCAGTTTCTGGGTTCAAATCTATTGAAGATCTATGAGCAACCCCAGCATAGACATCAAGAACAGTAACTCTACTCCATCTGCCGTATCAATTTTAAAAAGTGTACTTCTCTCTATAACTTCATATTTTAGTACTTTTACAAAGAAAATGGGTCAACCGATAAATCTTATTGCCTAAAAATTAAAATAAATGTTTAGGGGCCTAAAAAAAGTTAGTCATGGCCATGGGTGGGGGAAGGGGGTTTCTCATAAAGGGTATCAAGTATCCCTTAAAATGTTGTTTTACATAATTGGAAACATTACACTGGTTCAGTTCAACATACCATGAATGTCAACTTTGAACCTCTGAATTCTCCCAACAGCATAAACGTCCTTGACCCTGCAGGAGTATATCCCTGCCACATCCTCAGTCACTTGATTAAAAATGAGAGTCCCATTGGGTAAAATATCATACAATGGGCTTGAGTACAGCCGGTTGCTAAAGGGAGATCAAAAAAAGAAAAACTACATTAATTAAATGTTTACAATAAAATGTTAGTGAACAATTATTCACATAAATCTAATTAAAGTTTAAAAATTGAATAGAAATTTCTATATTAATCTTAATTTGTAATAAGAAAAGTAATTTCTCATTACAAGAAAACAAAATGCTGTTTCCTTGTCAAGCCCTAACAAAAAAATTGAAAGCACCCATAATGAACAGTGGTGTCCATTATAAAGGTGAAACAACAAGATAAGTTATGTATAATAAATAACAGAATTTAATTAAGCATTAAATATTCTAGATTTAACATAATACAGCAGTATAAAATATTCTCACATGTCCTTGAACCAGAAGACCTCAGAACCAGTGTAGGGACAGTGGAGAGAAGCTTGAGTGCCTACTTTCACTGAGACCAGTCTTTGGTTTTCTTCTAGGCTTGTGTTGGATTCTGAGGACACATATAAGGTACAGTTTTTTAATAAAAACTTTGCAAAAAAATATAGTGGTATTTTAAAGAGATAATTTATTTTATGTTTCCTAACATCATGGTGCAGAATTTCTTTCGTTCTTGATTTTTGATGTTGGAAGGGATTCCCCCCAACACATTTATTACGTGGCAACATGTATTATGCCCTATTGGCCATAGACTCAGATTTCAGTCTGCTTTTCTTTTTGGATTTGCTTCCATAACCTTTGTCCAGCCAAGAACAAACTACAAGTCAGGGGCTCGAACTCCAACCATTAGCTTAACCGACTGGACCACATCAACCTCCTTGCAGTATTTAAAAATGGACATTTTAATTTCATTCTAATTTATATTACATGTGATATAGAAATTATAACTTGTTCATAAAGATAAACTGACCCACCATAACAATTAGACCTCTCCCGATCAACAGCCCTGGTTATCCCATCATTGCAGCAGCCATAAGCAGAATATCTGCAGGAATCAGGGCGTGGGGTGCTTGGCGCAACAGCTCCTAATAATTACAAAATTATTTACATTTCATATTAGCTTTTGGGATAGTTAAACAAATTACTTGAAATGTTTTTTTTTAAATAAGATAAAAAAAACCTTAGAAATAGAGAACCAAAGGGTGGTAACATGGAACATGTAGGGACAAAGAAACTAAAGTGCTGTGAGATTCATCTGGTGAGATACGATGCCCCTTTGGCCCAGAATGTTTCAGGCCCGGGGAAACGTAGTGAAAAGTCAGGCAGGGGCACATCCAGGACAAAACAGGCTCCGCGGCCATATTATCCAAGCCTTTAGTGGGAGAGTTAGCGCCGGAGCACCAGTTGAGACGAAAACTGAGAAGGGAGCTTTGGCCATTCTCCAGTTTAATATCTACGGCTTGGTAGGCCAACTGGTAGAACTGAAGAAAACCCTATCAGAAAATAAAATCAATGCTAGGAAACTCTGCTAAAGCCAAAAAAGAAATGCAATGTGACAGCTATACTCAGTACAAATGCCCATGTCCTAAATGCAAGGGTGTCCTGACACGGGCCAACAGGGGATAAGACTGACTGTGTCTCTGTCTGGGTGTGGAAGGACGGACAGGAGTATACGATAGTGAACGTATACAATACCCCTAGAAATCCCATTGAATTACCCAAATACCAGGACGGACAGAGGCATGTCATTATCATGGGAGATATGAACGCTTAGTCCGCTAAGTGGGGGTATGATAAGGAAACCAATGCATGGTGTGCCTACAGAACAGGTACTCAAAGCCAACTCTTTTACACATGGCCAGCAAAGCGTACACGCAGCCAGACCTAATGCTGGTATCGGCCAACCTTGTTTCAAGAGCAAAAACCACTGTAGTGCCGGGTGTGGGGAGGCTCCACTCCGCAATGACTCAAAGGTTGCCTCCTCAAGCAGAGAGACTGCAGAAGTCCTCAACGAATACTTTGCCACTGCAAGCAAAGGAATAGAGCCATGCGAACGCAAGAGAGAGGTTGAAAGCTTATTGAGCACAGCGGAGGTGGTGGAACCAGCAGTCCCCGACCCACTCTTTTTGTCTCTTTCAATATGACAGAGCTCTTCGTAAAGCTAAAAATGGGAAAGCCGCATGGCCTGACCAGGTGTCCAATGAAATGTAAAAGCAGATAGGACAGCGCAGTAGAGAGCGACTACCCGCCCTAATCAACTGCTCGTGAGAGAAAGATGTCCTCCCCACCAGTTGGAAAAAAGCAGAACCTGGGAAGGACCTTTAGCTCACCTGCGAGCTACCGTCCGATTTCACTGCTCTAATTAGTACTGGTACTTAGAGTTCATTAAAATCATAGATCCTAGCCAGTGCGGCTTCCGTAAGGGTAAGCAGCCCATGGACTCCATTCTTCGGTTGACCAAAGAGATAATGAGCGGCTTCCACTCGGAAAAGAGTACCTATGTGGCACTATTTGACATGAAGCAGGCGTATGATGGCGAACAGGACTACTGTTTAAACTCAGGCAAATCGGCCTAAGCGAGAAACGGCTCAAGAAACGGTAGTGGCCGGACTCATAGGGCAAATAGTACAAGTTACTTGAGTGGAAGGAAAGTTTGAGCCCACCCGGCAGACAAGGAACACGCCATGGGATGGTGGCGATGCCCAAACTCCATCACGATCAAGCTGGGTACCAGACGGCAGGACATCCCGCTACTGGTGGGGGAAGGACAAGCCTGATGAGAGCCTACAGATCCATGTCACAATAGTTACTTTGGTAAAGTAATTACTTCCCCTTAACAAATGTTAAGTTGTATTTGAGATGGTGTAATTGAAAATACTGTTTTGTTGATACTAGTTTATATTTTTATTTTTATTTTATACCATTCATGCAGATGAATACATCAGATGAGTGCTACACAAAATAATGGTTTTCACACGCCTGCTTATGTTTGGGTTATTCCACTTACCTCTAATGCATTTATTCTCACATTCCTCTTTATTGTTGAAACGGTTGCCATTTCCTGTACACCCCCCATAATAAAACCTCATGCAGGCCGCCTTATTAGTGTCGTAGTACCACAGAATCGTCCAGTTATTACAGCCCCCTTGGTCTTTTTTCAACACACAAACATCTGGTAAAAATAAAATTGCTTAAATTATTTTTCTTCGTTTTTTTTTATTATTTTATATTAATTTAGTACTTTTGGAAATGTACATATTTTAAGATTTAGATCTAGCTTTGAAATAAAAAACTGATTTATTTTTTTGAATGTTGAGTTCTGAAAAATATTTATAAATAACTTTACTCGAAATAAATAAATGGTAGGGTAAGTCCTAAGATCCAGATGACATCAAATGGGCGCCTCAAAGAAGAAGAAAAATGGATGCGAACAGATGGTAGAATTGTCATGGGCGGCTGCCAGGAAAATTGTCAGTAACTGACAACAACAAAAACGCTACTTAAAAGCGTATGTTCAGTAGCATAACATTTCAAGCCATGTTTGCCTGATTACTAGTTTCAAGCAACTTGTTTTTCTTAGTTCGAAATTTTGTAATACAAACCTTGAAAGAACTTTCTTAATTATCACTAGAATTGAACAAAATTTTATTCCAGTTCTTTTGTATATATATACCAATAAAACTGATAGAACTCATTTTTAAAAATGTGTTATGTTTTTTCTTTTTTTAAGTAGTATCAAAAAAATTTAATCTATCTCAGAATATAATCCTGTAAATTAGTTACATCCAATTTTTAGCAATTTTCATATTTAGGCTAAACTCTTTGAGTTACAGCTATATGCAAAATATTAGGTTTAGAAATAAGCTGCTATTTATTTTAAAGCCCTTCTTGTTATTGGTTACAAGAGCTAAAATTTGACTAACTTGATTCAACACTTGGAATGACGTTTGACTCAGGGGTTGTGGGTCTGCGGTTGCTCGCAGGTTCTTTGTAACATTTCTGCATGCAGCTCTCCTGGCTGTCAAACCTGTTGTTGTTGCCTCCACAACCAGAGTATTGGAAGGACTCGCATCTGTTGCGTGCAGGGCTGTAGAACCACTTGATGCTGTTGGCTTTGCAGGTGCCCTGGATACAAGAAATTAAAGGTTTACATGTGTTGTACCACAAGATAATGTAGATGAAGACAAGAAGTTATACGTTTACATGTGTTGTGATAAGTGATGTTGTACCACAAGATAATGTAGATGAAGACAAGAAGTTATAGGTTTACATGTGTTGTGATTAGTGCTGTTGTACCACAAGATAATGTAGATGAAGACAAGAAGTTATAGGTTTAAATGTGTTGTGATTAGTGCTGTTGTACCGCAAGATGGTGTTGATGAAGACAAGAAATTATAGGTTTAAATGTGTTGTGATTAGTGATGTTGTACCACAAGATAATATAGATGAAGACAAGAAGTTATAGGTTTAAATGTGTTGTGATTAGTGATGTTGTACCACAAGATAATATAGATGAAGACAAGAAGTTATAGGTATGTTGTGAGCAGGGCTGTTGTACCACAAGATGGTGTAGTTGAAGCTGAAGACAATAAATTATAGGTTAAAATATGTTTAAGAAACATCTATAAATACTTACACACACAAGGGAGGGGAGATAATGGTTCTGACTAAGTGAATTTGTATGGAAGAGTAGGTAATGAGAGCTAAGCTCCATGTTGTAGAACATATTTGGACTTAAATTAGTTCTTAGGCCTACATGAAGTACTTCTGTAAGTTAAACTGGCATCATAATACCTTCACATTACTATGGTGATTCAACATTCCAATAAGTCATTTAATCAAACACTAAATAAAATATGTATTTTCTTTTACATCAGAAAAGAAGCAAATTTAAACATAACTTTTTAAATTTTATTTTGTTAATTTGTGTTTTTGAATCCTAGTACAAAAATATCTTAAGTCAAACCTCCCCCCCCCCCCCCCTTCCAAAAAAGTGAAGAACGCTATTAAGTCTGCACCTAAGGCCTTTACTGTCAGAAAATGTAAAATTACATTTACTAACAAAAAAAATTTGAATTGACTTCCAATAGCACTAAATTCGTTTACATAGTCTGAATAATAATAAAAAGTATTTCACACCTTTGCAGGTAACATCTGGCAAGCGTCTTCTTCCGCTCTAGCACCCTCTCCCGTTGATTGCACCACTATGACTTGGGTAGCCGTGGATCGCTTGTACTGGTGGCACCGTCTGTCACAGGCACTCAGAGATTCAAAGTTGTTGAGGTTACCCCCACATCCTCCATACAGGAAACTGTAGCACTGGCCAGCTTTACTGTCAAAATAAAATCTCGGCATGGCTGCTCTACAATTGCCGACATCTTTTTGCTTCATGCAGATTTCTGTAATAAGATAAAATTTAAACATATAAAAATATGCATACATTGTATCACATAGAAATTATAAAAAGGGTACCTTATTGACATTTATAAGGTTACATACTGATACTTGTTTAAAGTATCATTTTATGATAAAACAAATATAGCTAGCACAAGTTGATAATTAAAAAATGTTGAAAATAAAATAATTAGAGAAATTAAAAATAAAATAATAGAAATAATAGATAAGAATGAGAAAACGAATAAAAAACAACAAAAAAGGAAGAAATAGTATTTTAAAATGACCTTGTGCACTGCAGAAATTGTTACACTCGTCCGCCGTTTTGAAATTGTTTCCATTCCCCCCACATCCTCCGTAAACAAATGGGCTACATGTGCCCTCTTTATGGTTGTAGTACCATCTGTTAATGTTAGCCCTACACACACCAGTCACTGCCTCCATAAGGCAGATAGCTGTAAGTGAGAGAAGTAATTTGGTGATTAGGTTTCATTTGAATAACATCTTTAAAAAACTCTTTGCTATCCACCAAGTGTAAATTAACCTCAATGGACGCCAGCGAGAAAAGTCTCAAAGGTATTTGAGAGGTCCATAAATTAATTAAAAAATCATGCACGGCGAAGTTACAATTAATATGGTTATAAAATCCTGTCTGTCTGGTTTTTTTCGGACTTTACTAAAGATTGGATGTATTTGATGTTTTTAAGATTTTTGGTAACTAAATTAAAAAATGGCGACATAAACAATGGCTTCCTGCTATTCGATAGGCCGCCATAAATTTTATTGTACACATTGTAAGCTTAAAATAGAAAAACTAGGTCATGGGGTTTAAATTTGCATTGTTATTTAAAAACTTGATCTGCAAAGTTTTGTAAACAAATAGTTATCGATGACTAATTTACTGTACAGCCAATCAATATTTGTCTTACAAAAGTAAAACATCCGGTTATAACTTAGGCTTGATGAAAATAAATAGAAATGTAGCCTTACACTCAACAAATTATTTTCAAGTTCTCTGGATTTGCAACTTTTATAGCATTTATTCTAAAAATATAAAATTTCTAAATTAATTTTGGCTTAATTTTTTTTTTTTTTTTTTTTTACGGTCTAAATCTAAAAAGCACGTTTTTATTCCATGTCAACAACATTATGGAAGGAATCTCGTCAACTCGCTGGTGTCCATTGTGGGATCATTAGATTAGGATTAACCTACCCAAGTGTAAATTTAACCTCACCTTTAGGATCACTAGATTAGGATTAACCTATCTCATAGTAATTTAACCTCACCTGTTGAGTCACCGGTAGGCGTAGTTGACTCCTGTACTGGAGGACTAGTTGCTACAGGTCCTATTAAAAAAAATGTTCAAACTCAAAAATGTAATATGGAAAATTTCATTGTATTTAAAAATCCTTGTACTGAATTTTTGTTGCAGTTTAAAAACAATAGCAAGCAATTTCTTTTTGTTGACATTTAAAAGGGGAAACACTGGTACATTTCAGCAGCTAGGCTTTATGGCTAGGAACACTGTATCAGATTTTTGTTAATTACCTATAAGAAGTGTGGAGACCCAGGGACTTTCTACTAGCCTTAAGAAATAGCAGTTTAAGATCATTAGAAGATGGTTTATTTCTAATACTGTGATCTTAATACATTGCAGAATATATTTTTCTCAAAGAAAAACTTAAAGATCAGAAATTGCTAAATACATTATATATGTACATTTGAAAGGCATTAAAAAATACCTTGTATATGTAATGTGTACATAAAGATGTTTTTAAAAGAAAATTTTTTTAATGTGTTTGACTGTTGAACACATACAAAATTATAAGGAATAAGGTTGTGTAAAAAAAATGTATTTGTAATGCTACACAACTTTAACTTCAGTTTTCCTAATAAGTTTTTAGTAGGTTGTGTAAGAATATTTTTTTCCCCCCAATATGTTGTCATTAAATTGTGTAAAAATATTGTTTAGAAATGCTACCTACAAATAACATCATTAGTTTGCATTAGGTTGTGTAAAATATATTTTTTAGCAATGCTACCTACCTATAACTTCATTTATTCTAATCATCTTTAGCCTCCTGTCTGCGTAAGGCCTGCTTCTACAAACATACGTCCCCTCATTTCTCTTCCCAGCATTCCTGATTGTTACATTACTCAGCAGGGCATTCCTGCTGCTTGGGTCAGGGTAGGTGTTGATGGACACATAGCTGTATGCATTAAGTGGGCGGCCATTGAAGTACCAGTCCATGTCTGTGGGTCGTTCTGGCCCAGTAGCCCTACAGCTGATGTCGATGGTTGCACCCACATTGAAGTTGAATTCTCCGTACATGATCACTGTTGAATTAAGGGTTTCATTAACAGTGTTAATTATTATGTAACACCCACATTAAAATTAAAATCTCCGTACATGATCACTGTTGAATTAAGGGTTTCATTAGCAAACAGTGTTAATTATTATGTAACACCCACATTGAAGTTAAAATAACCGTACATGATGACTGTTGAATTGAAAAGATCTATTTTAGGACACATACACAGGACATTATCAAGCCAGTCATGTGTATTTATTTCAAGTTTACTGAACATGCATCTTATAAGGGACAACAAAAGTCACAAAATACAAGAACTGTTGTATTAGCCCTCTCTACTGACAGCTGCCAGTATAAAAGAACTTATACTTATAAATAATAACCATTATAGCCATGATATTTTTGTTAGTTTTTATACTTGACTTACTAGATTAGATCAGAAAACATAAATTTAAAGAAACAATTGTGTTAAACAAGACAAAATCTAAACTTACAGCTTCTTTCCTCACTAGTGTCACTTGTAGGTGGGGGTGTTCTTGGTGCTGAAAATTTTATTTTAAATAAAAACCAAATTTATTTGTGCAAATAATTGTACTATGCCAATAATACAATTGAAAATTTATAATCAAGAAAAATAAACATTTTATAAAGAAATGGATATCTAATTTATATGGCACAAAAGAATCCTATATTTTACATATCAGCTTGCACAACAATAACATCTATTTAACAAACGTCCACTTTACAACATCATCTATTTTACATACCAACCAAGTCAAGAGAAATATCTATTTTACATACCAACCAGGACAACTGAACTATCTAATTTACATACAAACCATGACAACAGAACTATCTATTTTACATACCCACCAGGACAACAGAACTATCTATTTTACATACCAACCAGGACAACAGAACTATCTATTTTACATACCAACCAGGACAACAGAACTATCTATTTTACATACCAACCAGGACAACAGAACTATCTATTTTACATACCAACCAGGACAACAGAACTATCTATTTTACATAAGAACCAGGAAAACAGAACTATCTAATTTACATACCAGCCGGTACAACCGTAACATCAATTCTCTCCTGTTTCCCAGTGGAACTACGGCAGACATAAACTCCAGAGCTGGAAGGCTTGGCGTAAGGGATCCTCAGCTCAAGGTCATGCGAGTACCCTGACGTCTGCTGTCTGACGCGGGCATTAGAGTTTTGCTGGACGTCCTCCCCGTTGAAGTACCACCTGAGCCGCACATTGGGCAGCCCCTGGCTGGTGCAGGTTAGCCTGATGTCCCCATCCTCTCTCACCGTGCTCTCTCCAGACAAGGACACTGGCCAGAACAATTTTACAAGACATCAGTTGCCAAATTTAACAGATCAAATAATTTTTAATTCAAAGATTAACTGAATGAATTTGCCATCATCTCTAGAATATGGCAAATTTGTTTTTGTATTTATTTTATTACATGAAACATAGTGAACAGACATTTAAACATAGTTATTTTTATTCAAGGAAAACATACTATGTGTTATTAAAAGATGGGCATTCTTTAAACTCCTGGCCCAGGGACAAGCTAAATCCTGTTTTTATGGCCAGTAGTAGTACTTTTTGCTTTCTCTAGTCAGTGATAATGGACTTAGCAATGTCCTTTAGACTCAAGCCCAAGTCAACTTATGCCCAAGAATGTTTAAGTCAAGATCTTTGGTTTGGTCAGACAGAATACATGACATAGCGACCATCCTGATGTAAAACTAAAAGAACTACAAAATGTAAACAGTTCTAACTTACATGTCTCTCTATTGGCCTGGATAGGAACAGTAACTGGGGTTGGCCTTGGAGTTGTCCTCACATTATCTGTCCCTGACACCACTGTTCCCATGCACTCCTGCTGACACCTTTCTATGGTCTCAAAATTGTTTTCGTTGCCCTGGCAACCCCCATACACAAACTGCAAGCAGCTTCTTTCCCTTGGGTTATAGTAGTAGCGGTTGATGTAAGCCCTACAGGGACCTGTGTAGCTTGGCATATCGCAAATGTTCATAAAATCTGAAACAATAATTTGCATGATTTAAGCAGTTTATCCGTATCCATGTTTTTTTTTAGTGTCAACAACATTTTTTACTGGTATGGAATATGAAACAAAATATTAAATTTAAAATATTTTTATAAAAAGAAATACTTCTAATGCAGACTATTTAGATGAGTTTGTTAATTAACGATGCCCTTAGAGATCATATGCATTTTGTTAACATTAACATTTTGTTAATAGAAGTTACCTGTATCTGTATTTTCTGTAGCTTTTTTACACTCGGAGTGACAAGTTTTGTTATCATTAAAAACATTGCCGTTGTCCTGGCAACCTCCCCACCAGAACCTCTCACAAACTTGGTTGGTGTAGTTGTACCTCCACTTGACTTCGTACTTTGTGCACAGTTTGATCACCAGTGGGGCTTGACATTTTACTGGAAGTGAATACAATTTTAAAGTGACAGAGATTGGTACTTGTATGTTGACTAGGGACTGTTACTGGTGACTAGGGAATGTTACTTGTTTGATGACTAGGGGACTGTTACTTTGGTGATTAGAGCATTACTGGTGACTAGGGACAGTTAATGGTGACTAGGGACTGTTACTGGCTTGGTTACTAAGGATCTTACTGGCTTATTAGGAATAATAATGGAATTTGTTTTTTATAGATTAGAGTATACAAATTTATTCTGAGTGTGTAGGCAAGGGGTGGGGGGGAGGGGGGTATCAAGGGGGTGGGGTGTTACTAGTTTAACATTTTAATGGGAAAAAACATTGCATGTCAACTGTGCAAAAATAAATTCTGTTTGACGTATTAAGGTATTGATAAGAAGAAGAGCACAAATTGAACTATTAAATTTACTTGCATGCAAAATTCGTTGGGATTCATATTTAAATATATCTTCAAAATAAGTAACTAATAAAGTACAAAGTGTACATGGTTTGAAAGTTTCAAATTATTGTTTAAATCACCACACACACAAAAAAAAGGTACCATTTTTAATCAAAGTAAATACATACAAATTTAAGACAGCTAAATAGAACTGACGAAAAAGAATAATAACAACAACAAAATAATTTTATTTACCAAAAACTGTTTCCCCAGTTTGTTTGACGCTGGGCTGTGTTGTCTGCTGAACCCTATCCTCTGAGTCTGTTGTCTCACCGCACCCCCTCCCCCTCGGGCCTGTAGCAGCTGTCACCCCATCATCACAGCAGCCGTATCTCTTCCTCTCACAAGGCATATCTCCGGAACCTTCCACGTCACATCCTTCGTAGTCGTAGCCTTTGGCTGGAGTCCTTCCATCAGCACAGCAGCCATACCTAGAGTTCTATTGAAGAAAAAAATACAGTTAAACATAACATCGTCAATTTCTAATCTATGTTTTTTTAACAATGGGACGGTGTGATTGAGTGCTTGAATGCTTGCCCAAAGGTCTCAAATTTGGATCTTGATCAGGACTCAGGACTGTATGACGTCTCTCAGTCCACCCATCTCTGAACAGTACCTGACTCACATTGGGGAAAGTAAAGACGGTACTACTGTGGGTATAGTGCTACACACCATCCATTCATATGCTAAGGTAAAAATTACTCTATTTCATTTTTAGGTCTGAAAGGGGAACTTTACTTGCATCAGCACAGCAGCCATAGAGTTCTACAGAACAAAAAACATAGTGATACACAACAGGGTCAATTTCAAATCTATGCCTATGAGTGTTTTGAAGACAATCAAAAGTCAAAACTGTAATACTAGAAATAAAGTAGGGATGGTCAAGGCACACCCTCAAAACCAGAAAATAACACAACTAGAAAATCTTTCGACTAAGAACAGGCCATAACAGACTAAATCAACACATGCACAAAAAACTAAAGGCTGGGTGTGGCGAAATGTGCCCTTGTGGCAAGGCCCCGGAAAATACGGAGCACGTCCTTCAGGAATGTTCTCTGTATAGCCAGGCACGAGTCAGACACTGGCCCCTTCCCACTCCACTCAGGGAAAAATTATATGGGGCACCTGCCAAACTGGAGACCACAGTCCGGTTTGTTCACGAAGTTGGACTTGTCTGAATCCTCTACCATATTCTCAATTAAGAACGAAGAAGAAGAAGACAACTAGAAAAGTGTGGAGAAGAGTTTTAACAGAGCAATAATGCTGGGGTACAGGACTCATAAATCCTGCAACAATCAGTATCCAACATTGCATAAACAAAAGTTGTAAAAAAAAAAAGAGAATGAAATGCCACTGACCTCACAACGTACTGGACATCCCTGTTGGTTGGGTCCAGAGGCTGGGGACTGACTGTCAGGACAGCAGCCAAATTCAGACAACCTACAGCCTAAATGTACACTGCTGGATCTTCTGTAGGAGGCTACACATAAGTCAGAAACAGTTACAATAGCTACATAAGAAAATAACAGTTACAACAGTTACATAAGACAAGAACAGTTACAATAGTTACATAAGACAAGAACAGTTACAACAGTTACATAAGACAAGAACAGTTACAACAGTTACATAAGACAAGAACAGTTACAATAGTTACATAAGACAAGAACAGTTACAATAGTTACATAAGAAAATAACAGTTACAATAGTTACATAAGACAAGAACAGTTACAATAGTTACATAAGACAAGAACAGTTACAACAGTTACATAAGACAAGAACAGTTACAATAGTTACATAAGACAAGAACAGTTACAATAGTTACATAAGAAAATAACAGTTACAATAGTTACATAAGACAAGAACAGTTACAATAGTTACATAAGACAAGAACAGTTACAACAGTTACATAAGACAAGAACAGTTACAATAGTTACATAAGACAAGAACAGTTACAATAGTTACATAAGAAAATAACAGTTACAATAGTTACATAAGACAAGAACAGTTACAATAGTTACATAAGACAAGAACAGTTACAATAGTTACAATTGCAAACATAAGAGAAGAAAAGTTACAATAGTTACATGGATTAAAGATTAAAGCATTCACATTTATTTGAATTGGACTGTTTGAAACAGATCAAGTAGCTATAGTTGTTAAAAATTAAGCTTTTTGGAGTTAAATTTATTTGTCTGATTGATGATCAATCCAGTAGCGTACGCAGGGGGGGAGCAGGGGGAGCGGCCGCTCCCCCTCTGGCCATTTTCAGCAAAGTGGCGCCTTTTTGGAAAATTTTTAAACTCAAAGTTTTAAACAATGATATTTGTTAAAAAAATATTTTTGGTCGGCACATCTATGTAAATCACATTTCATGCAGCAATTAAGCATTATTGTACTAGTCTAGTAGTGTCTACGTTTACAACACGTATTAACAGCTGCATCAGTTTGCCATTCTAAAAATAACCATTACGATGCATTGCAATGTTTAAAAAACCTCTACGGGTAGTACCACTTGGCAAGAGGGGTATTAAGTTTAAGGCAACTGTATAATATATTTGCTTACGAATAATTGAATTAGAAAATGTTATACATAAAACTTCACACATAATTACTTTGTATATACAGTTTGAATCGTGTGATTAATTTTAATATAATTACAATACAGAAACAAATACAACTGATGTGGCACCTCTATTTAAATTTACTTATGAGCAAACTGCGTAGCGGTGGGTGAATTTTGACAAGGTCAACTATGTCATCACGATGAAGTAGTAGTATTCTTACGGTTTGGGCGATAGTGATTACGATTACAAAATATATGAAACAGTTACAACCCCCCTCCCCCATGGACCCCTCTGTAAAAAAAAATATTGTCATAATACCACTGCTACTTATTTAAATCTATTTCTGTAAATACTGTAATATATATTTGTGTAATATATATTTGAGTAATATCTATGTATGTTTAGAACAGTCATCTAAAAACGAACGCAATGTTCACTCTGAATAGGTTATCTCCCCCTTCCCCCCCCCCCCCCCACACACACACCTCACAACCGCAATTGTGTAGAGCGACATCAATGTCACACCTAGGTATACACTGGGTTGGATAATTGACCTAAAGTGACCGGACAGTGATGAATGAAGTTGAACCCCCCCCCCCCCCCCAACACACCCCGAACTGATCTGTTAAGTACATGTAAACAAACGCGTAATGATGTACCAAAGTACCATGCCGCAAAAAAATAGCTTTTTAAACGTAAAACTCTGTGAATATTGTATTTGCAATTACCAGTAAAAAGGTGTGTGAGCAATACACTGATATAACCCATACCTATCACTATGTTAAAAAATGATCTTTAAGGACACAAAGAAGCGGTAGTTAATTAAAAATATATGATCTGAACTAAAAGACCGATACTTAGTTAAATGTAGGCATTTATTCCGAATAGTACTCTATTATATCGAAAAGCGTGGTTTTATACCAACTTTGATTTTAAAAACTTTCATTATGCTGTAATACTTTAGCATTTATGATGACGATTTTGATTATAGATTATAGACAAAAACACTTTGTAAACACGAATAGTGTTAAACAATTTCATTATATTCTAAAGTAATTATTTATTTGTTTTGACATTTATAATTAAATGTGTAGATATATACATATTTATATTAAGAGAGTGATTATTTCCCCTATTTCACTTATCTTAAATAATTTCCCAGGAATTATTATGTAAGAATTTTTTTTACTAGAATTACAAAACATATTGTGTTACCTATATATTTTTTGTTTTGTTTAGATTGATACAATTTTTGTTTTGTCGGCCTACATTGTGTGTTTTTTCTTATTTCTTCAGAGTGCTACTTTCAATTTATTTTACATCATAGCAAAGTAATGACATACAGCTAGTTATTATATATATATATATATATATATATATATATATATATATATATATATATATATATATATATATATATATATATATATATATATATATATATAATACACGTATATAGAACGTGTTAAAAATTCGGCGCCTTTTTTTGCCCTTTTCGCTCCCCCTACAACGAAAACCTGGATACGCCTCTGGATCAATCATTTAAGTTATGAAATAGCTGCAATACTCACAGCTAAAATAGACTTTAGCTTGAATTGTTAAAAGAGCACTGCAGTTTTATAAAATATTTACTTCAACTGCAATGCAACATTTATGCTACTTTAAACTAACCCATCTAAGAGTAAGTAAAACTTCATGTGCCGAGGTCATAGATACAGATGAACTTCTTTTGACTAACAATTTCCAAAAGGTAACTTTTATTTTAAACTTGCAGCTCCCAGATTAAGCATTTTTTCCAACTTTATTATCAAGTTATTAACTAAACTGACCATTGTTCCAGGGGTCTCCAAACTACGGCCCGCTGCGATCTTTTTGTCCACTTAATAAATGTTTGTTAGAAGTGGCTGAGGAACATTGCCCATAAAAATTCAAAACAGTTTGAAAATGTAGCATTTGGTTCAAATACTATTGCCCGCCGTGTTGCAGACATTAGTAAAAACATCGTAACTCAAATAGAGAAAAATGTAAGCAAGTTTCGCCATTTTTCAATTGCAATGGATTAGTCGCTGGACAGCTGTTCACCTCAACTTCTCGTGTTCATTAGAAGTGTGGATGAAGACACGAACATAACACAGGAGCTGGCTTCCCTACATAGCATGTATGGCACTGTTACAGTGGAGGATATCTAACCATAGATAGTTCAGAGACATGTTAGTATACAAACACAGAAACGCAAGATTTACCATATTTCACCATATATCACAGCAGTAAGATGGCTAATTTGCGAGAAAGTTCTGAGCAGAGTATTTAAGTTAAGAAAGGAAATAGCTTACTTCCTCGAAAGTAAACCCACCTATAGGCCTTCAGATCCAAACTTGTCATGTTTTTGGAACAAGTATAAGCCAACAACTTGACACACTCTCAGCAGTGCAAGGTTTTACGGCTGAAGCAACCACTGAGTTCCCCACGTCATTTGCATGAGAGATCATCAAAAACCTCCAGCTGCAATTTCAGTAGTGGTTTTCTGACTTGGATTCAATGGCAGAAGAAGTGAGACTGTTTCAAAACCATTTGAAACAAATGTGGCCAGTTGCAAAGATGAACTGCTGCTGGAGGTCATTGAATTGCAAGCAAATGACTTTCTTAAGACACGTTTAAAGAAGGGTGGGTGGGTTTTTATAAGTTTTTGCACAAGGAAGACTTTCCTAATATTAAAACTTTTGTATGAAAGTACATTTTAAATTTTTGGAACAACATACTTGTGTGAACAAACATTTTCAAGAATGAAATACGTGAAGAATAATTTGAGAGCAAACTTGGACCTTGAGTGTGTTGATGGCCCTGATAGTGTTTCTCTCAGGATTATTTCTGCGTGGGAGGGGACTTGAAATGTGTATATGTTTCTATATAAATTATATTTCGAAGAGACTCTTGCCCCCGAACTGATATTTGATAGTTAATGCGGCCCTCAGGCTGAAAAGTTTGGAGACCCCTGGTCTGTACTATAGGGCAAGTGACCTCGGCATATGAAGAGATAGTGGTCAGCACTACGCTCAGCCGCCTTTACTTTCCCTAACGTGAGTTAGGTACCCATCAGATTTGGGTGCACTCATGGATGGTCTACTGACTTATCCAGCTCTCTACCGCTAGACCACTCCGTCCTAACTTAAACACAAAGCTAGGTGGCAATCATTGTAGTATGTAAGATGTTTATTTTAACTTGCGACGTGTATACTAAACATATCTAGAAAAACAAAACCTTGAAAGAAGTTGATGTTCTATGATAACATTTTTTACACGGAATGTGTACTAACAAGTTTTTTTTAATACAAAATACACTATACCTGTTGCAAGTATTGACGCAGTTCAAAAAAATATCACATTTCAAAGTCACATTTCTGTTTATTTTTAAACACAGCACCAACCTTATAATGATTATCGATTATTTGTTACCCTAGCATAACCTAGTTAAGTCTAGTTTGTTTACATTGTAAACGACGAAACAAACAATATTTTATTTCAAATAATCTTTTGTTACCTAAAAATATTAATACAATAAAAATACAATGAATTTCTTCAAAAGTGAAACCAAATAAACATTGTTTTTTTATTTTTTTACAATAACCGCCCCTTATAAAATAATATAGCTAAATGAGATTGACCCTACCCTTTTCGTGTTATTTGTGTATAGGTTTTCTCTACTGCTATTATATATTTATTTTACAAAAAAACTTGTTTATATATTGTATGCATTAGCTGATTTTTTAAAATGTTGTCCTTAAAATACAATAAAATAACCGTTACTATTTTTTTCATCAACAGGATACAGAACAGAACAGGTAGACAAGCTTTAACGTTACATCCGGTTAGATGACCAAGACAGGTGACATTTACCGCGTTGTTCCTACATTCTGAA